TTGAACGTATTATTCACAAGCCAATAGAATAAATAATTTTCCACCCTTCTCTCTCTCCATAACCAATTACAAGTTCTCTATAGAAGAGGAGATTAATTTCTCCCGTCCAAGTAACATTGGTAGATGTTTGATCTACTCTTGTGGACTAGTCATAGAGAAGCAACAATAAAGCCTCTAATCTCCACAAGAAGGTAGAAGAAAGCTTGGGAATTCACGTTTCAAAGGTTATAATTTCTAATTATTATGTGATTCGTATTATGTATATGCATGCGATCTTGATTAGGTGCTTATAAATAAGATTCATGAAATTCAATATAAATAATCCCGTATGTATATAAGCTTTATAAGATTTCTCAAATATTAGGCTATATTTGTTTAACGGACTCATATTATACTTTGTATCAAATGATTTAAATCCTTAGGAAGTCCAAAAATCATATAAAAAAAATTGTACTACTTCGTATAATACTACTCCTATGTAAACCTGGGCACGGGCCGGGTTGGCCCGCGTGCCGCCCGGCACGGCCCGAAGTCAAGCACGGCACGGCACGAATTCAACTCCCGTGCCACGGGCCGTGCCACGGACAGGGTTGAGAATTCCCAGGCACGGCCCGGCACGAGCACGGGCATGGCCCGCCGTGCTGGCCCGTAGGCACGGCCCGCGGGCCAACGGTAATGTTACCGTTTCATCTAGCTCTAATAAGCCAAAAAAACGGCTATAAAACGGCTAGTTTTTTGCCAATTTGCTCCCCAAAAATTCTATAAATACTCACCTCCATTTCATTCCCAAATCACAAAATCACAATCTCTTCTTCTTATCTCTTATATTCTCTAAATCTCTAATAATCCTTATTTTCTTAAATTCTCTAATTATTCTATTAAATTCTCTAATTATTTTCCTAATATCGGAAAAAATTAAAAAGTTCGTAATCGTAATTAGTGGAGCGTTGAAGCACGGTTGTAAGATCTAAACTAACCTTAAATTTATTATTGTTTTATTGTTATTATTAGAATAATCTTGTTTAATTATTATTGTTGTTAATTGTTATTGTTGTTGTTATAATTGTTGTTATTAATTATTATTATTGTTACAATTGTTGTTATTATTTATTTTTGTTGTTATTGTTATTGTTATTGTTATAGTTGTTGTTATTAATTAATATTATTGATATTTTTATTGTTAAAATTGTTGTTATTAATTATTATTATTATAGTTAACCACTTTTTATTAAAAAATTAATTGTTAATTATGGCATCGAACAACCCATCATCTAGGTCTAGGGGGAAAGGCCGACTTATCCGTAGTAGTAGTTCTAGGGAACCACCAAATACAACGAGCCCCCAAATTACGAGTCAAACCAATGGCCCCATTTACTTCCCCCCGGGCTATGAGCCATATAATACGTCGGGATTTCCAGCACCACCACTAAACCAATTTCCACTACCACCATACCAATTTCCACCTAATTATATCGGTGATCAACAAAACTATTGTTCTAGCCAAGGTAGCCAAGAAAGTACCCGAATTCCCTCCGGTTCTACCCCTTCTACTGCCACTCCCACTAGTCTCACTACTAACCATCACACACATCATGAATGGTTAACCGAAACTGAGATGCTACTTTTGAAAAACCGAAGGAGTGAGGTATGGCGTTATTTTGTCCTAAGTAAAGATGGTGAACAATGGGCAAAATGTAAAACATGTAATAGTGTATTCACGACAGTTACCAAAAACGGGACGGGACACTTATCTAGACACATGAAAGCTTGTGCAAAACCAGCTAGTGATCCAACCCAGCCCAAAATTTCCCAATTCCATCCATACGGCTTTACATACAACTATGAGAGGGATAGGGATGAACTAGGAAAAATGATAGTACACGCCGAACAACCTTTTCTTTTCTCGGAAAGTGACGCATTCAACACCTACATTAACAAAGCACTACAACCCCAACATAAAAGAATCTCTAGGAAAACCGTTGGTTCCGCCGCAATGAAAAATTTCCTAGAGTACAAAGTCCGGTTACAAGCCGAATTGAGTAACCTTAACTGTAGAGTATCTTTAACAGCCGATTCTTGGGATAGTGGTTATAAATATCACTATTTATGTGTGACTTGCCATTGGGTAGATGATCAATGGATGTTACAAAAAAGAATAATACATTTCAAAATGCTGGAATACCCACACACCGGCATTAACATTGCTCACCATTTAATGCAAGCAATAGACGAATACAACCTTCGAGATAAAATGATGTCTATGACTTTTGATAATGCAACCTCTATGACATACACAACTAATCTTATCAAACAAAACTTAACCGATGTACTATTAGACGGTGAAGCTCTTCATACTAGATGTGTTTGCCATGTACTTAACTTATGTGTACAGGATGGAGTTCGGGCAATTGGCCCATACTACAGCAAAATCAGAGATGCTATTATGTCTATTAATAGCTCTAACATGAGATACCAAGAATGGAAGAGTTTTCTAAAACAACAAAAGATAAGGGTAATAAAAATTAGAACCGATTGCCCAACTAGGTGGAATTCCACCTATGACATGTTAACAAAGGCAATTGAGTACAAGGGCCCGTTAACATTATTTTACAACCAAAATTTTCCACAAAATGCTTTGTATGATGATGATTGGAAAAACTGTGAAAGATATATGCAATTTTTACAGTTATTATATAACATGACGTATTGTTTTTCTACTGTTTACAATCCTTGTGCTCAAAACTTTCTTTCTAATGCATGCTTACTCGCCCAACTTTTCGTTGATCATCGCCATCAAAGTGATTATGATCAGTATCTTCCAGCAATGGAAAAAAAGTGGCGTAAATATTATAGTGAGATTCCTTTGATTTATATTTTTGCTTCCATATTAGATCCTAGGAAAAAGTATGAAAACACATTTATGTTAGTTGACATTTACTTTCAATGCATGTTTCTTGACGATGATGTAGAAAACTATAAGACTAATGTGAAGGATCAGTTTTTTGCTTTATATAGAGTCTATGAAGCCAAATATGGCACCGTTCCTCGCTCAGGGCCTTCCCAACCATCCAAAAACGTAAGTAAGAAGGCCAAACATTTATTTTCACAAGCTACTAACTTGATTTCAAGGTTTTCAGGTGATTCATCAATCAGGAGAACGCAAAGCGACGTCTCGGAGTTGCAGATGTACCTGAGTTACGACTTCACCAAAGGCATGGACGACAATGAGATAAACAGCCTCGACCTCCTTGCATGGTGGAAACAACAAAGCTCGAAGCATCCAACTTTGGCGGCAATGGCACGAGACATTCTTGCTATCCAAGTTTCCTCCGTCGCCTCCGAACGAGCTTTCAGCGCATCCGGAAGGGTTTTAGACGATAGAAGAACAAGTCTAAAACCCGAAACACTAGAAATGTGCGTGTGTTTCAAAGATTGGTTGGATGCGGAAAATCGCTCACAAGACCGTTCTTACGACCACAACGACAACGAAGAAGGAACCTCCGCTTCCGGTTCGGGTTCGGCTAGTTCCCAATCTATGCAACTAGCCGATGACCTTGAAGGCGAAGGCGAAGACGAAGACGAAGACGAAGACGAGCAAGAAGAAGGAGAAGAAGAATAGACAATTATTGTATATTGTACGATTTTAAAAATATCAATTTTATCATTTTCCAATTTTTGTTTAATACCATCATTGTATGATTTTTATCATTGTTATCATTGTACAATTTTCTCAACTCAAGTAATAATAATATAAAGTACGCATTATTCACATCCAAAGTCCAATTTGCCTTTTTTCCCCGTTTTGTTACAATTTGTAAATTCATATTAAAAAAAAAATAAAATTATACCAATTACTAATAAATCATAAACATTAAATTTTAAAGTAATAGTATAAAGTAAATATATAAATATAAATATTGAATATACAAATTATAAAACATAAATATTTAACTTATAATTATAAAATTCATAACTTAATAACTTATAACTTATAAGTTATAAACTTATAAGTTACCTTATAAAACTTATAATTATAATTTTATAACTTATATACATTATAAACTTATTAATTTATAATGTTGTCATAAAAAAAAAAAAAAAAAAAAAAAAAAAAAAAATTGAAAACTGCACCAGCCCGCTGCCAGCCCGCAGGCCGGCACGTGACCGGCACGGCACGAGCCCGCTAGGCACGAGGGCCGTGCCGTGCCGTGGGCTGGCCTGTGAAAATGGCCGGCACGACACGACACGAAATCCTGGGCCCGCCGGCACGACCGGCACGGCACGAACCAGCCCGTGGCTCGCCAGGCACGGCCCGCGGCGGCCCGGCACGACACGGTGCCCAGGATTACTCCTATGTAACAAAGACATTTGGCCTATATATTATACTTAAAAAAAGGAAAATTTATATCTTTAGATGAAATGATCAAGTAGGCCGGTGTAGGACCGCTTGCAAGAAGTGTTAGGCCACCGGATGACAATAATAATAATGATGATTTTTGAAGCGTCGCTTTCAAAGGCCATTTCCATTTTCTCTTCTGCTAAAAATGTAATGACATTTTATTTATTTTTTAAATTTTAGCTGACACTTTGCCGCCACGTGGGCGCCGCATTTTAGATCCAATCAAAATAATCTGCCACGCCCCAATCTATTGAATTTTGAATTACTACTACTTCTTACACAACCGCAAACTCTTCTAATTTTACTCCCTAACAACTCATGACATCATTCTTCTACACCTTCTCATTTCACTTAGGACCCTTACGATCCCGTTCTGATTTTTTGCAACACCTAATTAAGAGTTTAGCACGTACTCTGTACATAATTTTTGAACCATAACATGAAATTTATCATGTGAAGTGATTTTAGTAGAGCAATTTTGTGTTTGAATGTCATTTTTCCATAGAGAAAGTATTGCGATTAATCTAAAGTGAGTATCATAGACTAGAGTTAGATCGCGACATCATACTCCCTTTGCTTGGCTAAAACTTCTCCATATTTTTTTTTTGGTGTTTAGAGAGTCAAAAGAACGGAAATGAGAATCGATTCTAAGATTACCTTTAGATACGGGAGGAAGCTCTAATAACTTGATCTGAGCCATCCCTCACTCTCAAACTTCTCCATATTCTTAAAATGAATGTTCCATTTTGTTTGTCACATTTCCTTAATAGTATATCTTTTTCTCCTTTACAAACTTGGCATACAAAAAAAAAAAAAATCGACCTACATGCTTTCAAATGAACCAACTCTTGAAAAAATAATTTAAATAAAAGAGACAATAATTATGAGACAAATGGAGTAATTGATCACCTCTTTTTAACTGATTCCCAAATAAATATATAAATAAAATATAAAAAACTATACTATATATAAATCACATCACACCTCCTAAAATTTTGAACCCAAAAAAGAAATATTACAACAGTAAGATTAAAAAAATACACCAATACTTGCTAGAAATGGCAATTGATAACCTTGCTAGTAATGAAAGCCGCCTTTCGGGTGCCTATATTCGTAGCCTTGTCAAACAACTTACAACTTCAAAACCCTTAAACACAAACAACGAAAATTTGATCAATAATGATAGTCTTATTGTTGGGGAGTTTACACCTCAAGCATCAATAAGCACCAAAAAAGGTGACAAATTAGGCATGGCTAAGCCAAATAACAACAACCAACAACAAGGTCACAAGAAGCAAGTCCGACGACGGCTCCATACGAGCCGCCCGTACCAAGAGAGACTCCTCAACATGGCCGAGGCTCGGAAAGAGATCGTCACCGCGCTCAAGTACCATCGAGCCTCGATGAAACAAGCTAATGACCGTAAACAAACGCGAGATGAACAACATATGGATGGTCATCAGCAATTGCAACAACACCGGTCGATATTTGGTGTACAAGATTATCAAACTCGTACATTAGTCAAAAATGAACCATCATCTTCATTAGATAATAATTTTTGTTATAGTAATAATAATAATAACAACAATTGTAACAATAATTATAATAATCATAGTCCCTCTTACCCTTGGGGAATTAGTTCAACACAATTAATAGAACCTAGATATGAAACCTTAAATAATATTCCACTTCCAAATCAAACCCTAGGGTTAAACCTCAACCTTCAAGCATTTACAAATTTAGATACACCCTTTTGCCATTCTATAAACACTACCTATACCAATAACCATTATTCGCCATTATCACCATCATCGTCGTCCTCCTCGACCCCAAGAGATCTCGGTGCCACGACAACGGCCGAGAGGGCGGGACTACTCCCTAGTAATGGTATGGCGGGTATGGACATGATGCATCCGGCATTAGATGAAGTTGAGATGGCGGCGATTCGATCCGTGGGAGAACAACATCAAATGGAGTGGGATGATACTTTGAATTTGGTTAAGTCAGCTTGGTGGTTTAAGTACCTTAAAACGGTGGATTTTGGTAAGGAAATTAAAAGGGAAGAAGAGAATTATAATGATCATGTTCCATTTGGAGAGTTGGAGTTTCCTCCTTGGTTAAGTGCAAATAATGATGAGAGTTTCTTGCAACAACATTTGGAGGATTCTTGCTCCGAGGATACTACTTTGCCTTGGTAAGACCTAATACTTATGTTACCTTGTTCTTTTTTTAAATAATACGAGTGTTTAGTAGCTTTTTAACTTGTACAATACACGGTTTAAATTAAATAAAATGGGTGGATTTTCTGGAGTAGTTTATTTGTATGCTATCTTGGGTTTTTGTGTTCATGATTACAAATATTTAAAATTTTCATTAATAACTGTTTCTCTCAAATTAATGTTATTGTTTAAATCAAAACTTTTGATAATTTTGGAAAGATGGATGGTTTGTATAATTTAAGTCAATATGCATGATGTGCTCAATTATATATTTTACTTTTGATGATGTAACTTGATCAAGAGAGCTCTACGCTAGGAATGGAAAACTCAAATACATAACTATAAGACAAGTGTTGAGCCAAAAATATATAATATCTCAATTCTCAAATATTTTGTGACGTGTGGATTTATAGAAATCATTATAATCAAATTTTGATAAAAATAAAAAATAAAAAATTATTACTAATAAGGAGTAATATAATAAGGATGTTCATTTTAAAGTTCTATCCAAACTTTATAAAAATTAATAATGCTACTACTATTTACTTTTTGAAAATGTCCTAAAATTAGGAATTACAATAACTTATCGTAACGAAAAAAATTAAAGTCGTTAGTCTATCAATAAGTTATTTATTAAAAGTCCGCTTCTTAATCATCTTTATTATTTTACAAGATCTTTATGTGCAAACCATTTAGAATGTATGTCATCGCCGAGCAACCTTATAAATAATTAAATTGAATTAAAGACTTAAATAATTAAATTGAATTAAAGACTTATAGTTGTATAAATCAAGAAATAATTTACTCTTCTTGTGTTTAAAGCTAGACTAGAAAGCCAAGTGTAGACGAAGAAAATAAAAATGAATGGCATGGTGCACCGTGGCCTGCCTAGCGTTACACCAGCTAAATTATGCATGCTTTTGCGAAGTGTCCATCACTAAAAAATTTGATGCTGCGAAAATGCAACTTGTCTTTTGGTTGTGAAGCTTCTGTTCCTTGTTATACTGGTATTTTATTTAATTTCACTATTATTTTACATTTTTATTTAAAAGTTGCTGCACTATTTAGGAATAAGATCGAGAAACTGAAAAGTTGACTTACAAAATATTAAGTTTTGGTTTTTTAGATTCTCTTCTCTCTCTTTAAGTTTTTTTTTTTTTTTTTTTTTTTTTTTGGTGAGGGAAAAAAAATGTTAAGAAACCCTTTTCAAGAAAAAACTATCTTTGCTAGCTTCATTTGAGTAGAATGTAGAAAGGAAAGAATGAGACAATATTAGGGTTACTTGCAAATTACAATTATATATAAATTTGTACGCTTTAATGTTTTCTTGTACACCAAAGTTGTTTTCACATCAATGTCGTCTCTAAATGAGTGAAAGGTAGCCCTAGAAGTAGCCTAATTTGATGGGGGAACATAGTCAATTAATGAATACTCACTAGAAATATACTCATATATGACTATATTGGAGAAAACATATAGTAGTATATAATAATGTAAAAGAAGTATATTTATCCTCGTGTTATAGTTTCTTTATCATACTTAACTTCTTCCTAAATTTTAGACTTAATTAATTGATGTTTGACTAATTATTTAGTACAGAGATGAATCTTCCAATAATCAATACAGCGCATAAACAGTACATCACTTAAAAGGGCACATATCATATGTAACACAATGCCTTTTAAATAATTATTTTATTTTATTTTATTTTTGTATTGTCCACATGTCAATTGAGAATCAGTGCACCATGCTAGATATATAACAGTATCTATTTTGTTACAGTAATAAATTAGAGGTAATTAGACCAAAATGACTTGTTTAATTTTTTTTTTCTTGGAACCAATTAAAATTTGGCTAAACATGTGCGGTTTGTTTGTTGTTATGTAACAGGATGGATATTGGAGATATTGATGGAATGGATGATGAGTGGTTATCATAACACTATTTTAGCAGTCTGATTTTGCTTCTTCCCAATGCAATCAACTTCTTGCAACATAAACCATAGATGAGGAGGTCAAGGGTAAAAAAATGAAAATGAAATACTTGTATTCTAGTATTTTGCTTATTTTTTACAGAAATGGATTAATTAGTAGCCAATGGTAGACAACCAACCTCGTGTGATTTGTCATTTACATCCCTTCCTATTAAAATAAAGGGTTTTCTTTGATAATTTTACATAGAAGGCATGCAATAGTTGGAGGTCTACAATCTGTGTCATCCACAATGTTTGTTGATGAAGTTGTTTAATTAGCTTAACTAGCGTATGGTCCAAAAGTTGCACCAAATTGCTATTTAAAATATAATATTAGTAAAAGGAGGATTTAAAGAAAATAAATCTTCATTATTGTGTCGAGGATATTCTACTTTATTCATTTTTTTCAGGCTATATAATTATTTTTTACTTTTTTGTGAGCTTACTTAAAGATATATTTATTTATGTACGTGTATACTTTTTTTAATTACTTGCAACCCTTCACTTTTCACACTTGTCGATGCATTAACCAATCTCTAATATCTTTATCTTTAATTTTCATGTAAAAATTATAAAATTTGATATTAAAATAGTGGAGATCGAGACAAATCTAACAAGATTGTACATTCTTACTTAACTCTAGAAAGTCGTAAAAAAAAACAAAGGAATTATTAGCTAAGATGGTAAGAAGTGTTATATTTATATCCAGCTATAAGGTTTAGTGTTCGAAACTTGTGGTATCAAGGTATGTTTTGCTCAATAATAGTCTAAGAACGGTTTTTAATTGGGAAAAATAATCCCAACTTTTACGTATTTGCTTTAAATAATCCAAACTTTTGATTACTTTTAAATAATCTGAATTTTGGGGTGTATTCACTTTCGGTTACTAACTTGTTATAATACATTAAGGTGACGCGTGCCACCATGTGATTGATTGAAACATAAAAAATAAATAAAAAAATAAAAATTACATAAATTTTTTTAAAAACAAAAAAAACTTAAAAAAAAAATAAATAAATAAAGCTGCCAGCCTCCACGCTCCACCCACGAACCACCTTCGCAACCACCACTGCGGCGGCCGGGACCCCCCTCCCCACCCCCGCGCCGGCAGCTCCTCCTACCCCCCAATCAGCTCCATTCCCCCAAAAACCACCAAACCCGCCCACCTTTAAACCCCCAAAATCCCTAAAAACCACCTCCCCGCCGCCAAAAAAAACCCCAAACGGCCTTCCCCCCACCAGCGGAACCCTAGCGCGTTCCCCACCGAAAACACCCCCACCCCCATTTCCCCGATTCCCTCCCTTTCCCCGCCGAAAACACCCCCACCCCGTTCCCCGTCGAATATGAACTCCCCCACCATGCCTCTTCCCCGATTCCCCCCTTCCCCTTCTTCTAGCTCCTTATTCATCTTTCTCATTTCTGACAATAATTGAAGAGAATTTAAAGGGTTTTAAATTGATAAATTTGGGATTTGTGGGGTACAAAAGACTGGTTTTTGGGTGGGTTAGTTGAAAGGCTTTGGTAGAGTGAAGAGAACATAACCATGAAATTTGACTGAGAGATGACATAATTTTTTGATTGAATCACTAATAATCTGTTTTCTTGGAGATTAATTTGGACATGAATATCAATATTTTTCAGGTACTGCTCTTTGGAAAATCTTTTATACTCCGTAAAATTGTAGAGCCATTTAACCACAGCCCTTCAAAAACCCAATTTTCAAATCTCATGCATTTTAGTTCTCTTCAAGAAATCTCATCCTCAAATCTCATGCATTTTAGTTTTTTGCCTATAGCTTCCAATGAAATAACTTCCACTTCTCCATTTTCTTTTTAATAACTTCCAAATCTCCTATTTTTTTTCTTTTTAAATATACATACTATGTATATACTATGCTGTGAAAACAAATTTTAAATCTGCAAATAATAGATTCAAAACAAAATGAAACAAAATGGTAATTTTATTAATTTGATAATTTTGGGTACAATCTCTAATTTGCTCACCTAATTCAAACTCTACTTTAGCTTTGACTTGTTCCACGGGCTGACTTGATTAATTGATTGAGGGCAGTCAAAGCTTGATCTCGATCAAAGATAGTTGATGGAGAACTTTGACCTGAGTTCTTGATTGAGGGCCGACGAAGCTTGATCTCTATCGAACATATTTGATGTATACCTTTGACTTGAATTCTTGATTGAGGGTCGGCGAAGCTTGAGGTTTGATCTTGATCAATGACTATTTGATGTAGAGGTTGAACTGCCTAGACTTGTGATGCGCTTGATGTTTTGAAGTTCTTCCTTTCTCTGCGTTGAGGGCCGTCGAGGCTAAATTTCTTCCGCAGATGATTCTAGAGTAGAACGACATGTCGAATGCTTGTTGTTCTTCTTCTAGGTTTGAGAGGTTTTCTTTGGAGAGGTTTAGAGTTTTGAGAGGTTTTCTCTGTTTTCGGATGTAGTCTCCTTGTTTCCTCTAAGTTATTCCTCAAATGATGTAGATGGAGTGCTTTATTTATAGAGTGGAGACAACCTAGGGTTAGGGTTTGATGTACATTGAAGTTGGGCCTTCAATATTGCCTTGACTATTTATAACCCATATATAATGGAAACAATTTAATTAACTAAAAAAATTAAAATGGGATAATTATTTTTTAATTATTATACAGCGTAGTATCAGTATGTATACATTGCCATCTTTGCTATCTTTTATTCTTTTAATTATTTTTCTACATCTAATATGTAGCTACAAGTTGTAAATATAGACCTAGGAAAGCTATAAAAATAACATATACTATGTATTTCCTTTGTGATAAAATAAATGCCCTACTTTCACTTATATATTTGCCAACACAAAACCCTGATTTCATATAAATTTTTTATATGGAGTACCAACTTTAAATCTTCCTTAAATAGAAAGTATGATGGGTGGATGAAGTAACATAAGTAGGGATTTTGGGATGGAAAATAAAGGAATTTAAATTAGAATTGGAATAATACATTAATGGTTATTGTTTTTTTTTTTTATATTATTTGACAAGAGATAACAACTTCACATGTGTAACTAAATTATAGTAGAGTAAAAATACACAATTTTTTTAATTTTTTTTTGTATTGTTTGCTAATTACTCTAATAAACTTCTGTCGTCTTTCTTTCACATAAACGTAAGGTGTACCAAATATAATACAAGTCTTGTGTTGTAATACACAAAGAAATGCATAAGAGAACAGATTGAGATGTTTAACGCCAAACATTTCATTTAACATCATAAATTCTCAGATTATACTGATAAAATGATCCAATTATCATGGTAAATGATCCAATTTCACAAATACGACCCCCTGCCATATTTTTACTACGTAATCCATGACTCCATGTCACCAATTCAGGGAGGTTTTTTTTTTGTTTAATGAAAACCGCTAATAATTAGGGTCCGTTGGTATCACTATGATTTTCTTTTTTCAAATTCATATGATATGTCATAGAATGAATATAAAAAAAATAGTATTGGTGGTCCTCATGATCTTAAAAAGAGATATTTAAATGCTATTTCATTGGTTCAAAGGTTTGGCAAGCCTGATTTATTCATCACAATGACATGCAATGCGAATTGGCCCGAGATAAAACGGGAACTTGCTGTTGGAGAAGAGGCACAGAACAAACCAGATATAGATGCAAGAGTTTTTAGAGCAAAAGCGATTGCTTTGAAACATTTGATTAAGAAGAAAAAAGTGTTTGGAGTAGTAGCTGCAATGATTTATGTTATTGAGTTCCAAAAGAGAGGCCTACCTCATGCTCATTTTTTTTTATCATTTTAAAGCAGGAAATAAAATCAAGTGTCCTGCTGACTTTGACAAATTTGTGGGTGCTGAAAATACCATCTATTGAAAATAGATATCTCAGGAAAATTGTGCTCAAACACATGATGCATGGCCCATGTGGTCATCTAAATCTAGAATGTCCCTGCATGATGCACAAAGAAAGTCTTAGTCATTGCAAATATGGCTATTCGAAGAAATTCTATGATGAAACAAGAAGAAATAATGATTAGTATCCAATGTATCAAAGGGGAGACACTGGAGAAGCTGTTACTATTAGAAATGTTGTCATGGACAATAGATAGGTGATTCCATATAATCCATATTTTTCGTCGTATTTTGATTGTCATTTAAATGTTGAAGTATGTTCTACTGTAGAGGTAGTCAAATATTTATACAAGTACGTTTATAAGGGCCATGATAGGATATCTTTTAATGTTCTTCAGTTTGGTAGATGAGTTTCTCCTTGTGAAGCTGCATGGCAAATATTTGATTTTGATCTATATGAAATGCAACCCCCAGTTTCTCCTCTTCCTATGCACTTGTCTAATTCACAAATCATCCATATTAGACCTAATGAACAACTCACATAAGTGGTTTCAGATGATAAGAGTTCCAAAACTTGCCTAACAAAATTTTTTAATATAAAATCTCAGTTAATTAAGTTCTGGACCAGGCTTGCTGTATACTGAGTTTTTAGAACACTACCGCTAGGAAGCATCAGATAAGCATTGGTATGAAAGAAGAAACAAGAAGTTTTTCATTGGAAGGCTAGCATTTATTAGCCCTTTTAAGGTGAAAGGTATTATCTCAGGTTATAGTTGCATAATGTTAGGAATCCATAGTCATTTGAAGATCCGCGAACAGTTGATGGTCATTTGTGTGACACTTTTAAACAAGCTGCACTTAAACTAGGATTATTAGAAGAAGATGATTCAGTTGATTTGTGCTTGAAAAAAAGGTTATGCTACTCAAATGCCTAATGCAGATCACAAACTTTTTGCTACTATACTTATCCTTTGTCATCCTAGCAATCCCATCTCTCTTTGGATGAAATATTATAATTTTTTGTCTGAGGACTTTAGACATAAGTATGCTTCAATTCCAATCCCAATGAAGTTAAGCACCTTACTGTCAATTCAATTAAACAATATATAGAGTCAAGGGGAAGCTCTCTTGCCATGTTTTGATTAGATCATTTAGTGGAAGGGGATGATGTTGAGATTCACAGGATAAATTAAAGGACATTGAAGATGCATTAGGGATGTGAAATTAGATCGCATAAGGGAGAAGATCAAGCAAGGGAAGGCGACTGGTTTCAGAATCCATGATGATGGGAGTATTCGATTCAAGGGGAGGTGGTGTGTACCACAAAACTGTGAGGAGTTAAAGAAGAAGTTGATGGAAGAAGGGCATAATACACCCTATTCAATAAATCCAGGAGGAGATAAACTTTACAAAGACTTGAAAAAGGTGTATGGGTGGTCTAAGATGAAAAAGGAAGTAGCAGAGTTTGTAGCCAAGTGTCTAACTTGTCAAAAAGTGAAGATAGAACATAAGAGACCATAGGGAACAGTACAACCACTCGAGATCCCAGCTTGGAAGTGGGATTGCATCTCGATGGATTTTGTCACTAATTAACCTAAGTCTAAGAATGGGAATGATACCATCTGGGTTGTGGTGGATAGACTTACCAAATCGGCAGTGTTTATACCAATGAAAGAGACTTGGAAAATGGAACAAAAAGGCTTACATCAAGAATGTTGTGAGGCTACATGGAGTTCCTAAGGATATCGTTTCTGATAAAGATTCTAGGTTTCTTTCGAAATTCTCGAAAAGTGTTCAGCAGAACTTTGGTACGACATTGAAGATGAGTACAACATTTCACCCTGCAACAGATGGACAATATGAAAGGACTATCCAAACCTTGGAAGATATGTTAAGATCATGTGTGTTAGATTACCAAAATGGATGGGAAGATAGCTTAGACTTGGTAGAATTCTCTTACAATAATAGTTACCATGCAAGCATTGGCATGGCACCATTTGAGGCCTTGTATGGAAGGAAGTGTAGGAGTCCACTATGTTGGAGTGACATTAGTGAGACAATAATTCTAGGTCCTCAATTGATAGAAGAAACAACGAAGCAAGTGAGAGAAATCCAAGCTAAGATTCAAGCTTTTCAAGATAGACAAAAGAGCTACGCGGTTTAAAGCGTAGAGAAAAGGAATTTCAAGTTGGTGACAAGGTTTTGCTCAAGGTATCACCGATGAAGGGAGTAATGAGATTTGGGAAGAGATTTTTCAAAGAATAGGAAAAGTTACTAATATATTGGCATTGCCAATGGACCTCAGCAACGTACACGATGTGTTTCACGTCTCTCAATTGGGAAGGTACATCCCAGACAAGCTAAGTCGCATATCCTACAACCTGAAACCATAGAAATAGACCAAAGCCTAACCTATGAGGAAAGACCTATAAGGATTCTTGATAGTAAAGTGCGTAGTACACGCAAGAAAGATGTCAAGATAGTAAAGGTTTTGTGGTCAAATCAAGAAACTGAGGAAGCAACATGGGAAGCTGAGGATGAAATGAAAAAGAAGTACCCAGAATTGTTTGAGGTTAGTTGAGTTACGGGGACGTAACTCATTTTCTGTAAGGGATGTAGAATGCAATAGAATTTCACGCTTTTTACCTTATTTTCAAGCATTTTTGTGCATTTTTAGTATATTTTGCAAAATTTTATACAAAGTTTAGAAAGAAAGAGAACAAGAAAGGTTACAAAAGGTACAACAACTATATGTATTAAGAAAAGTTTTTACTAAGTGGGTGAAAAGTACAGTTTTAAATAAGCTTTAAACAAAGTTTTATGATTTTCGTGCTCAAGTTCTGAGGACGAAACTTCTTTTAAGGGGGTAGACTGTAATACTCCGTATTTTATAATACTTATATATATATAAATTATTTATTTTATTTATTTTTATAAATTAAAATCATTCATTTCATTTTAAAAGAAATTAATTATTTAAATATTATGTAAGTGTGTATAAAATAATGTGAGTCATTAACTGAGGCAATAAAAGTGTTTTGAATTGAGTCATTCTTATTTAAATAGTTGGATCAACTTGTTGGGAAATTAAGGGCACTTAAGAGCCCAACAAGTTGGTCCCAAAGGAAGAAGTCAAGGGGGAGTAGGATTTAGTAATGACAGTTTTGTAATTATGTGTTTTTGTTTTAATAGGTGAGTATAAATACTTCAAAACCTCTAGATTTTTCACTCTAAAATTATTATTGTCAGATTTCACAAAAATCCCAAAAATTTTCTCTTTATTTTCTCTCTCTTTTTCTCCTTCTTTTTCCTCTCTTTTTCCCTCTCCTTTCATGCCTCTCTCTCTCCTCTTTTTTCTCCCACCGGCGCACCAGAGGACCACCGGCGCCACCGCCAACCAACGGCGACCAACAGCAGCAGCCGGCGACCACCGCCGGCCACCCTCCTTCTCTCTCCTCCTTTTGCGGTTCGATATTATGAAAAAAAAAAACTCTTTTTCTCATCCTAATTTAATTCTAGTTGTTTTTATTAATTTAAAGCATGATTTTGATTATGTTTTGGTATTGATTTTGGATATTTGATGTTCTTACATTATTTATATAATTTTCTGATTTTTATTCAATCAAAAACCCAAATTTACAAACCCTAGAAATTGGGAATTTATGGTTTATGGTTAGGGTTTGATCCTAGGTTGTTGTTATTGTTTAATTAATGGTTTAAACATATTTTTAATGAGTTTAAAGCCCTCAAATTAATGCTGGAATTTATTTATGTACACTACTTTTTAATTATTGAGTTAGGGTTTGATTACCCATAAAAGGGAAAAAAGTTTTGATGATTTAAATATGATTTCCTAGTCTATTAGTGATGTTTTATATTAAATAAGTATGCTGGAATTTTATTTAAGTCATAAAAATTAAGTCTTTTTGAAAGGATTTGAAGTACCCACTTAAAGAAAAGGTTTTTATGACTTTTATGTCATTAAATTGGGTTAATTAGTAAGGTTTAAAGTGTATTATAGTTGCTGAAAATTTGTGAGAATAGTGGATTAATTATAGTTATGTATTCTTATTTGTAAGAAGCTTCGCGCTAGGTGATTTCTAGCGAGTGTGGCCGAGTTTAGGCATTTTTCAAGGTATGTATGTGCACAAGAATATTTTTGTATGCGTAGTATCATGCTAGGATTTGTAAAGTATGATTTAAGTGATGAATTAGTAGCATGTTTGGTTGATTATATGCTTGGAGTTAATGTTGGATGAGCATGAATTGTTATGCAAGCATGTGAATATGTTAATTGAGGCATGATACAAGTTGAATATGTACGAATCATGGAATTATGTTTTATTTTCAAGTATCAAGAAGGCATGTATTTAATAAGCAAGGCTTATATATGAATTAAAGAGCTAAAGTTAGAATTATTGAGCATGTTTTTCATGAATTTATTTCCCACTCATTTATTATTGGTGTTGAGTCAAGAAGTTAGTTTATTTATTTACTCGCTCATGTAAGTTGAGTTGAGTCAAAGAAGTTTAGTAGTGCAATTTATGCACCAAGGTAGTAATCGTGCAATTTTGTGCACAAAACTAGACAAGGAACCTTAATTAAAATAAATAGTATGTGCTCACTAATTAATTCAAGAATAAATTGGAAGTATGTGTTGAATGTTGCTATGTTTATTCTTGATTGATTGGTTTGAGTAATCACATGTTAAATTGGTAAATCACGTAAAGTGCAAGAGGATACACACTAAAACTCTTGGAACGTATATACCTTGAGTATGAACATATGAGGGGAGTTATGAGGTTTTATAGTTAACCATAGCTTCTACAGGGGTGCAAGACGTTGTACTTTCTTTTATTATTAATGCGTTGGAATTCCGTCACAAGTGTGATATAGTAGGTGCCAATTGGGGTTGCTCCCTGATTGGAAGCTCGATATTTAAATGGGCTATTTTCAAGGAAGGAAACCCGTTCGATGCGTAATCCAAAATTATTATTAATAATTAATATTATTGCTAGTTATGAGTCAAAGGTAAGTTGACTTGTGATTGTGAGCATGTTTTAATTATTATTTTTATTTTGATGCTAGGATATTCATGTTAGTGTGGTGCATATGTACTCAGCTTTGCTGATTCGTACTTTTGTGTTTGTGTTTGGCTTTCCTTTGGATTGGCCCTACTATGACCCATTTATATGGCGAGTAGAGGGTTGAATAAAGAGGAAGTAATAGATACTTGAAGCATGAAGAGCATGATGGGATAGAGTACAGAGAGTTACTTATTATGTTTCTTAGTTTTAATATTTTTGAATTATTGATTTGTTTATGAACTAACATTATTGTGTTTATTTTTAATTGGTTTTAAGAAGGGCCATGTTTGAATTGGTTCCAACTTGTGAATGTTTTATTTTACTTTTGTTTTGAGGTTGTGAACTCAAATTTTATTTTTAAGAGTTGGTTTTTGTTTTTAGACTTCCGCTATGTGACTTTGAAAATTAGCTTTAGCCGTTATCACGGTGGCGGTAATATTTAGTTATTTCCTAAAAAGGGTTTTATTTAGAGTAGAATTAGTAGTTTTAAAAGAAGGAAATTTCTAGAGTATTACATGATATGACTCATGATGTACATACATCTAACCTCAATTGCTTTCCCAAAAATGGATATGCCTCCATATCTTTACAACAAGAGCTATATTAACACCAATCTATGATGATGTTGATGTTATAAATACATCAAGCTTGATTGACAAAGTTCCTGGTGAAGCAATAGTGTACAAGAGTTATGATTCAATGATTGATGATAATTGTTCCATCTATCCCAAAACTGAATCCATAAGTAAGCTTTGTTTCGGTGGCATGAGTCCTCATGATCTATGTAACATTTTACCATCGTCTGGTCTATGCAATGGAACAAGGTTACTATGCAAACGACTCTACCTTAATCTCATTGAATGTGTCATTGTTGTTGGCCATAATAAGGGAGAACATGTTTTGATACCTAGAATTAGCCTGCGACCATCAGCGTCTTTAAATTATCCTTTCCAGTTTCAGAGAAAACAATTCCTTATAAAACTTAGTTTTGCAATAACAATCAATAATATCGGATCGTATATTCACTCAAAGATACATATTTTAAGGAAAGAAATTCACTATGAGACACAAAAAAAAAAAAAAAAAAAAAAAAACATGCAAATACAAAAACAAGCTTTGAAAAAGTATTACCGAAAGTGTTGATATAACTTTATAATTTATATAGATATAAATATTTATGTAAACATTAATTACATTTCGTAACATCCAATTGGTGTTCCCATAGAATATTATTTGTTATAACATGCATTTTTCGTACCTTTAAAGAATGTAGCAAGATAGCACTAATTTGTGACAATAATTGCACCAAAATCTGATTACACATTAACTAAGACTAAAAATTACATACACTTAATTTTACTTTATTGACTATCGCGCGCTTGGAGTGCGATGACTCGACTAATTTATAAAAAATGAAAGACAAATGTCCAAAACTTTATGAGAATACTTTACCAAATCTCTTCCAAAAAAAATTGAGTAATCGGTGCACAACATCATAATGCATTATATATGTGACTACAAAGAAGTATATGTTAACTATATATGCATTGCTTTATTTTTCTTATCTATTAATTTTTTCAAGGTGAATAAGTAAGTTAACAAAGCATATAACATGAGTAATATTTTTCCCGAGTTTGACTTTGTAATTACTAATAAATATCTTAATAACAGATGGATTTCAAGGAACTATTGCGAGCAATTAAAGATGTAGGGATTGGAAATTTTAAATTAGAACAAATATGACAAGAAAATAAAACATACAAAGTATAATTTAACGTGGAAAATTTTTGCAAAAAACCACGTACTACAAGTTCCCGAAAATCCATTATATAAAATAGCTAGTAGAGTACAACGCTAAGATATTAGGGGAAAGTTTACAATTACATCTCTTACACACTGTTATAGAAAACAAAGCTACAAAAGACTGAAAGAGTAATAAAAAGACGAGATTGTGTATATTAGACGATTTCAATTCTCACAATTTCTTACGGAAACAAAACTTGTGAGGATTGTACTAAAAGATTTGAAGTAGATCGTGGTGGATTTACTCTCAAATGATGCCAATAAACATCTCATATTTATAGGTGATGAATAAATTGTGTAGAAACATCTGCACATGCTCTTTAGCTTGCCATATAATTCTAGAAGTCTCACGAACAAAATTGTTTCTAGTAGCAATCTGTCAATCAGTCAACGTGCTAAAATAATCTAGTATAACTGATTAGACTTAAAAAAAAATTGGGTTCCACTAAACACAACAAAAGTGAATGGGCCCATAATTTGAAATAATTGCACAAGTATATATGCATGCATTTAAAGTTTTTCCACATCTAATATATTTTTTTAGTTGGTAAGGATAAGAAATAAAATACCATCTTTGCTATCTTTTAATTATTATTCTACATATAATATGTAGCTACAAGTTGTAAATATAGACCTAGAAAAGCTATAAAAATAACATAGACTACGTATTTCCTTTGTGATAAAATAAACGGCCTATTTTGACTGATATATTTGCCAACACGGAACCTTGATTTCATATACATTAATGGGGTAACAAAAGTAGGGATTTTGGGATGGAAAATGAAGGAAATTAAATTAGGAGTGACATAATACATTAATGGTTGTAATTTTAGCTATAGATATAGATAACAACTTCACTTGTCTAACTGAAGTAAAATTGGGTAGGCTCATTTGAGGAGGGTGATAAGGGAAATCCCTCAAATGAGTCGAGGTTTGCTCTCTAGACCTCAGGGATACGAGGTGGGAGCAATGTCACTACTCCATCACCTCAACCTCAAAATGAAATTAAAATTCTAACCTATATATTTTATTGTTTGCTAATTACTCTAATTAACTTCTGCCCTCTTTCTTTCACATAAACGTAAGGTGTACCAAATATAATACAAGTCATGTGTTATAATACAGAAAGAAATGCATAAAAGAACATATTGAGATATTTAATGCCAAAAATTTCATTTAACATTATAAATCCTTGCATTATATTGAAAAAATGATCCAATTATACTGGTAAATGATCCAATTTCACAAATACAATCCCCTTCCACATTTTCCCCATGTAGTCCATGTCACCAATTCAAGGAGATTTTTTTTTCACTAAAACCGCATTAGGGTTCGTTTTGTATCTCTGTGATTTTCTATTATTTATTTTATGTTTTTTAAAATCATATGATATATGTCATAGAATAAATCAAAAATTAGTAAAACTTATTAAAATCATGACAATTTTAAAAACCGACAATAGAAAGTGGAAAGACTTCTTATTTTCTATATTTGATAATAAAAAAAAAACGATGCCAAATAAGTCCGAAAAGTAGCAGTTTACAATAATTGGCTTGTGAAAATAGGATAGTACACCCCGGTGCACCTTGCGCATGGTGCACTTGGGTAAACAAAAAAAAACGCAGAAAGAACATATATGTGTTTGATAAAGAACATACCTGTGTTTGACAAAGAACATACCTTTAATATGTTCTTTGAGTGTGATCAGTGTGTTATTTGGGTATTTCTTTACATTATAACTTATGTTATTTAACATATGTTGATTAAACATACATGTTTTTTTGGGTTTCAATTATACAAAGAATGTTCATTGAATTTGACTCATATGTTCTTTGAGGTAGTGACACACAAATTCTATTTTTATTATCATATGTCATATTTAAATTACTTTTATTATCGTATGTTCTTTGAGTTTGATTAGTGTGTTCTATGAGTATAAACTTTACATTATAAATTATGTTCTTTTAACATATGTTATTTTAACCAATTAGATGTTGGTGTAGTGGTGATAGAGACTACACTTGGTAGGAAGGACCTGTGTTCGATCCCCCGCAACAATAATTGGGAGTGGACTGAAACCTAACAATTGGTGAATCGGGTGGAATACCAAAAAAAAAAAAACATATGTTATTTTAAATTTTGAAATTTGAAAGTGAAATCTTGAATCATATTATTTTTAGTTGAAAATAATATTAGAGAGAAAAAACTAAAATTATTATGGAAAATTGAATTTTTGGAGAGAGAGAAAACTATTTTTGGGGAAATGATATCTTTGGTAAAGATTTTTTTTGTTAATGTGTAATTTTTCAAGAAATTTTAATAAAGTTTCTATCATGTTGTTTTTGAATTTTTTTTTATTTTTTTATTTTTTTTAATACCATATTTTTAAGTTATTTGGTAAAGCATGTTTTTCTCAAATACAAATATGTTATGTCAAACACATGCTATTCTTTCCGCTTTTTTTTTTGGAAAAATTGCCACCATTAATCACAACTTTACCCCATCCACTGTTATTAATCCCAACTTCCATTTATTTTCTATCACTCCCAAATTTGTACCCTATTAATTTTTATCACCCCCAACTGGTCATCTAACTTGATGTAGGAGGTTACCAGACACGTGTCAACGCGTGATAGGTCCGAAAAAAATTAAAAAAAATAAATAAATAAATTTTAAAAAAAAAAATTAAAACCCTAACCCCTACCCCAGTAGGTGGTAGCCCCTGCCTTTACCGGTAGGCGACAGCTAGCCCCTGCCGTTTCGCAGCTCCATCTTCTTCCTCGTCCGTTTTCGCCCCCTTTCCCACCGAATTTCACCATCCTTTAGCAAATCAGCCACTGCAACGCAACAACCACCAGCCTAATTTCACCCACCAACACCACCAGTAAGACACACCGCCAGTCTCGCCCACCAACACCACCAATTTCTTCTCGATGCCGCACAAATTCCAGCCACCAAATCAACAATATCGGCCAACAAATACATCAATTTATCATATTGGGAGGTGCGGAGGATTGCAACGGTGGGGAAGGAGGAGGAAGAAGGGAAGCAGCGGGGTTAGGGTTTAGGGAGGGGCTGGGGGATCGCGACGGCCGGGAAAGGTAAGGTTGGGATTTGCCGGTCGGAGAAGGAGGACGCTGCCGTCGATGGGTTGCCGCAGTCGGGGGGAGGGGGAGGTGGCTGTGCAGTAGGGATGAAGGTAGTTTTGGTTTTTTGTTTTAATTTTTTTAATTTTTTTGTCCAATCACATGCTGACATGTGTACAAGTAATTCCAAATCAGCAATGTTTACCTCTTCAACCGATTTCAAGTCACTTGGGGGGTGACAAAAATTAATAGGGTACAAAGTTGGGAGTGATAGAAAATAAATGAAAATTGTGATTAATAACAGCCGACGGAGCAAAATTGAGATTAATGGTGACAATTTTTCCTTATTTTTATTATTTAATTGGGTGCACCCTGATGTACTGATCAAGTCATTGAATACTTGAAATACTAGCGGTTTTAACAGTACACCGTCGCCGCTACTACATAACTATAAGTCTATAACGGGAATAGCCGTTAGACGCCAAAATCATTCGCGGGAACTTCCATGAAAAAGGAGAGAGAGAGATGGACGATTCAGGAGCAATTCTCCTCCAAATTTCAACCCTCAAGGACATGCTTGACAAGGTAATCCAATTCCAAGTTTTCTCTTTGATTTCTGCATCGTTTTAATCATTCAATTTCATACCTAGGGTTTTCGCCAACAAAATTTGAGTAAATGATTTTTTTTTTTTTTGCTAGGTTAATGATGAAATCGAAGCGAATATCCAAATTACAAGGGAAATTGAATCGGAAATTGTTAAAATTGAAGAGATTGAGAATGCGTTGGGTGCTAGAGAATCTGAGCTCATGAAGTTGATTTATTTGTCTCAATTTGAATTAAGTGGTTTGATTACTGTCACAGGTAAATCTTTTGATTTTGTTGATCTTATTATCATTTTCTCTTTGATTATAGCTATAATTGTGTTTTTTTTTTTTTTTTTTTTTTTTTTTTGGTGATAAAAATCAGAACGTTGATTGGAATTTGGGTTATTTAAAATTATTAGTCGAATTTCATTTGAAGATTGCTGATTGATTCTAAAGTTGATGATGGTTTCGAATTAAAATTCTCGGTGATAGCAAAGAAAGTTGTTTCCTACTTAGGGTGAAAGGAATAGATGACTAAATTATTATGCTCTTAAAGAATAGGTGAAATAGGTATATTCGTTGTAATGCGATTTACTATGTCTAGAGAAAGTTTTTGAAGTTACAAGTGTTGTGTTGGTTCGACTTTGAAGTGAGGTGAGTTAGAGGAATGGGGAATGGGAATGAAAGAAGATGGGTTGAGAAGAGAGAGAGAAGAGAAAAATTTTGAGGGGGTGCACGAATGAAAGTAAGCGAAGGGAAGGGAAATGTAGAAGGATATGAAGAGAAAGAAAAAGGGTCTAAATTGAGTCGTTTACTATTAAGAATAAGTGATTGAAGAAGGGATACTTAGTAATTAAATACGGACATTGAACATAATATAAGTCTCTTAAGTCTTAACCCAACGAGTGAAGTATTGTAGTGGAAGTGTACCTAACATTGTAGTTTATGCCAATGTATTGCCAAAAGTTTAGAGTAATTCCTTTGGTTATCTCATATACGTAATAGAATTTAACATAGTAAGCATAATGAACTTTCATTGTGAGTGTATGGATTGCACTAGTGATTAGTGACATAGGAACATTATCTGACTCTCTTTAATAAATTGTGCTGCAAATGAGCTTGTTTACCTGATTACAAATCTAGGGCAATGCATGTACTAGTTATTCACTGCTAAGCTCTGATATTCTAAATAAATATTGCTGTTTCTTTTTATCCACCCAAGCAATCCACAAGCAGAGATCTCATACCCTAATAGAAAAGATTTCCAACGTTCATTTTATTTATTTATTTTTATTTTGTGTGTGTAAGTTTGCTATAATAGCTTAGGTTTTTGTCAAGAAACATGATAGAAATGTAGCATAGTGCATAATGTGATTGCTATTGTTTTGTCGTACTTATTGTCTTATGCCAAATATTTAGTTTCAGTAGCTTCTTTTTCAGTCTTTTATGCAAGTTCTTGCTATTACAACCACTCTTTTGTTTTATTCATAGTTAACTCAAGAAAATCAATAGCAGCTTTGACTGAAGAGATTAATGCTCAAAGGAGGAAAAAAGATGATCTACTTGATAGATTGAACAAGAAGCGGTACTCTTTAAAGATGTTAATATTATTTCATTGTTCATTCTAATTACACACAATTTACATGCGTTTTGGAGACATTTTAAACAGTTCTAGGGGAAATTCTTACAAATTGCTGAAGCAATATGGCAATATCTATGTTTTCCTTTTGATTATACGCAAGGTTCTTTATGTTTGAACATGAGAGTTTTCTTCAATTTTTTTCCCACAACAATTTCATCTTGCCTGTATATTAAATCATAAGCTTGAAGCCCCAAGGTAATCAGTCAACAACTTTCCAAAATCTTGTTTTAAAATGCAGATGTGCTCTGTGGAGCAATCTTACCCGAAGTTGGGTTTGGTCTACTCTTTGTTGCTTTGTTTGTTTTTGAGAGACTCAAGATCATATCTGAACACTCTGTGTTAATGAGCGTAATTCAGACCTGTTATGGAAAGTCTACCAAGGATCTCAAAAATGTCTGCTCAAGGCATCTCTGGGATCTTTTTGGCTGTGAGATCTGATAAGAATACCCAGTGGATGTTAAGCTTCACTATCTTGGAAAAAACTAGAGTGCCCTTTATCAATTTTAACTAGTTATTAGGGAAATCTCGCTCAGTAAGACAGGAAAGATAGGCGAGAAAGGCGGGCTGCTGGTTTGGTGCTGCAGACTGGTGTTGCGTGAGTGAGGGTCTGAGGGAGAGAGGGCTAGCTTGTGTTTTCTAGGTGAGGCGAGGGCAGCAAGGGAGTTGGTATTAGTGGGTTGGTGAGTTGTTGAGAGTGTAGTTGTTGCAGTTGGGCTGTTTGTTCGGCTGTGTGGGTGAGAGAAGGGACAAGGGAGAGATTGTTGGTGTTGTTGTTGGCTGCTCACATTTAGGGAGATATGTGTGGTGAAATTTAGAAAGGTGTGGGGTGTAGGATAAGGTGCTGCAGCAGGGTGTGCATCAGGGAGAGCAATGAGGATGCTGTGTTGAAATTGCTGTTGGTTTGGTGTGTGTGTGTTTAGGTGGCTCGGTGCAGGGCAGCAAGGAGAGAAAGGGTGTGAGACTTGAGATCTGGGAGCTTGTTTCGACTTGCGATCCGAAGCTCCGAAACACTCACGTACATGGCTACATACAAAATAAAATGGGGGAAAATTTCAGATATAGATTACAATTAAAAAAAATAAAAAAAATAAAAAGGAAAGAAAGAAAGAACTAATGTAAAATAAAACAAGAAAATTACACAAACTAATAATGTGGAAATAAGAAAATGAAAAGAATCTAAAAGTACAACCTTAGTAGGTCATTATAGAACTTCATTGTCACCCTTTTTTGTAGATTTTGGTTTTTCGTTACTTTTCTTCTCCCTAGCAATCAATTCTTGCAAATTTCATGCTTAAATATTGGCATAGTTACCTTAACATAAAATATAAACTTCAGATGCTTGCTAATTTTCCCAAGTACAAGTGAATTGATTATTAATATTGTATAACTTGCCTCAATTAATTTGACTTATCATGAATAAGTGATGCTTTTACTTGGAAACTTATTGTGGAGGTAATACAGTCAAGAGAGTCCTAAAGAGAGGACTTGGTTGAATCATTTTTTAACTTTATGGGATCAAATTTTCGTTTCGCACTTGATTCACAACGTTAATTAATAATTGGCAGAGAAGTCTTGGGTTATTAGTCGACCACTTAGAGAGAGAGAGAGAGAGAGAGAGAGAGACTACATCTTCCATTTCAAGAGCCTATCTGTACTAGGCAGTCTATATAACAGAGCCATTGATAAGTTGCCTTCGTATTACAGTTAATCCTTCTCCCGCTTGCTTTCTTAAAGTACCACATTAACAGCAAGCTTTTGATGGAGCCTATTATCTTCCTAACCATCAGTGAACTATTACTTGGAATGTAAAAATCATTAAACACCTTTCTTTCATACTATGCCTGTCCATCCTTCATTTATCGCTCCCAAGTTCTTCTTTATTTGCATTATAGCAGGAATTTCAAACCTTTACTTTTCAAATTTGAAGTTTATATAGAGAGCTTGCAAGTTTCTCTGGATGATGAGTGTTTCTATCTGTATCATCTGGTAAGTTTAAAGTACCAGCATCCGAGTTCTTGCTTTGCAATTTCCGCAGCTGTGAGCATGTTGTTGGAAGTCATTAAGATTTGTGCTGCTCATGTTTCTTTTCTTCAAGATCAAAGTGGTCTTTGCATTCCCTGTAAACCTAATTCTGATATAATGAGATTCTGGAGGATTTGAACTATCATCATTAATAGTTGTCAATGTTAACACGTCAGTTTCTATGACAATTAGTGGTTTCCTTGCTGATCAATGGAAATTTAGAGCAGCCAAAATTACTATAGATTATATATTATACACACACCCAGCACGCACACACTCATAGAATCCTAAGTTTGGTTTGTCTTTCATTAACTACCTAATTACTCATGATTTCTCTTTTACACTCAATTCTGTAAAATAAAATCAGTTGAGGCTTAAAACATGAATGGAGGAATTTAAACTGTTTCTTGAAATATTTAATTCACCATTTTGAACCTTAAGGTGATCAGTACTTTCTTGAAACTGGATTGAATCAGCAACAATAATGGTTTTATGTAAAGTAACATAAAATGTGGGTGTTTAATGTGGAAAACGCACTCTTCATTATACAAGCATTATTTGAAGGTGTAATTAATGGCAACCATATTTGATGTTTTTGGTTTAGTGTATTCAAAGTGCTAATTAAAGCCCCAGCATACTTGTTGAATTTCTTTCTCAATGTTCAGTACGTAGTGACCATGGTTTGACTTCTGTCTTTGTTACAGTGATTTATAGAAAACGACCCTTTTCTCTTTGCTTTAGATTAAATAGAGCTATATTGCAACGTATTCATATTCCTTGTATATTGTCAAGTGACTCAAGTCCCTAAAATTTGCTTGAAAACCACTGTACAAGATTATCTTCTTGAGATTAATCGTTGAATTTCTGGATAGGGAAAATTTTTCCATGGCGTGCGTTGAATTCCAAAAGAACATTGAAAGTGAAGATTGTAACAAACTGAGGGCAATGTTGTTGGAGAAAGAATCTCTTGAGGATGAGATCCACAAGCTTGATCAGACCGGTAACAAGTTTAAAGTACCAGTGAAAGCACTTTCTGAGGACATGCTTGAAGATCTATACAGGTCTAATTCTGGTAATAATCTTCCTCTTATAAATCTTTTCGGCATTGTATAACTCTTACAATAATTCTTTCTTACTTTGTTCTTAATAAATACCTGAATCACAGTCAATCTTTTGCTTGTATACTTGAGTTCTCAGGCATGTCAGCAGTTGATCATTGCTTGGTGATCTACTGAATCTATGAAATATAATATACTGTAGCATATTATGGAACCATGTCTACTGCTGCTCATGTGGCTCCTAGCCATAGCAGGATAAGAGGAATCTAATAATTACAAGTTTGCTGCTGCCCAAATTCTGCCCAAATTGACAACCTCCCACCTCTTTTTTTCTGCTCAAATTTAGGAAGGCTAGCTCTATTATAATTCTGCCCAAATTGACAACTCCCGCCTTTTTTTTTTTGACAATTATGTGGTGGTGTGCAGTTTAATGAGACATTTAATCAATCCATCGCATTTAAAAGCTGAAACTGCTTAAATGGCTACTTTTTCATCTTTGTTGAAATGGATGTTACTGCAACTGATAAGTGTAGTGGACAAAGCGAGTTTGAACCAAGGCTCATATCTCCATTACACACGTATCATGGTTTCAGTGGCACTCTTGCTGGTCTGTTTTGTAGTTTGAAGAGTTTTGTATATTGTGGCCTGACCTTGTGCATTTTATTAAACAGCATATATAATGTTTCTTTTTAATTTGAATTTTATGTTCATCTAAGTCAACTGATGTTTGGCTGCCCATTTGATTATATTTTAAATGTCTTCAGTATGGCAATAGGTCATAATTCTTGTTTTCTAAGATAGACTCCCTTAATCGTGTAGCGAAGTATATCTGCTTAGAAGAGATCAACGACCTTTCAACTATAAGCATCAGTTTAAAGACGCATGCTTACATGCAAACCAGATTATCAACACACACTTAGACTTGTCTTAACTGGCAGTTCCTAGGAGTTCTATTTCAAGCTTAATACTTGTTGCTTTTTTTCCTTAGTTCTTTTGGTAGCTTGTGATAAACGAAGCTTTCAATCAGCTCAATCACTTTCGGCCTGGTCATGCGGTAGTTATTTAATAATTTCAAATTCTTTGATACTGATCCCTTGATTCCTAAGTTGCCATCTTTAGTAAATATCTTCTCTGTTTGTGTGTCTGCCTTAATCATGTAAAACCTTGATACAAGTTGATGTAGATCATTCAAATGGAAATTGTATTGGGTTATAATAATTTGTCAGCAAGCATAAAGCTTTAAAGATTTTGGACCTAAAAATTTGATCTCATGAGTAGTATTTTGTTCAGCTATGTTTGAGAACCTCATTGACTAGAAGCAGGATTCACTGGTGTCATTACTGGGGTCTGATCACGTCTTGTTAAGGTTTTTGCCTGCTGCACAATTTAAAAATTGGCCTTATATTGAAAAGAAAAAAGTAAGATGAATCTGACTGTTTTTGCTACATTAATGCTTGAAAGATTCTTTATCATATTTAGATTTTGGGTTTCTGATCAGTGATCACAAGAACACTGATTTTGAAACCTGATGTTTTACAAGCCTGCGTATGCCCTTGTTCTGTGGCACCAGCTATCGCCAAGCATTGAATTTATTACTCTGGGTTTTTAATCACCCTCTTACATGTGATGGTGTTTGTGTCCAAAATTTCAAGAGCGGGAAATTTGAATTCTGATATACTTTACTTCTATTGACATAATGACATTAAAAAAATTTCCGTTTGCAGCACTAGCAACTGAGATACAAGAAAGACAGGCTGAAAATGAGCAAGTGCTGAAAGAAATTGAGGAGCTTAGGTCTATACTGCTTTCCACCATTTCCGATGTTGATGATCCTTGGTTATAATAATGGTTAGTTATGAGTTATTTGGCAAATTTCTCTTTATTTCAACAATCACTTAGGTCCACAGTTCTTACTTTTAAAATTGCAGTTGTTAGTGAGTACTTTCCCCTTTTATAGTTGCAACACTTTGACTTTCATGCTTGCTAACAAACAACTTTGACTATGAAAATTATTTATTAATTTATTATTGAGTAGTAGTACAGCAATACGATTTGATGACACTCTTCTTACATGTTCTCTACAGGTACCAAGTTGCAGTCTTGCACAAGTTTTTTGATTTGAGGAATGAAGATGTCGGTTAAAGATGCCTTCAAATAATCTCTGCAGCCAAATCATCCCTTTCATTGGTACATGGTTAAATATGTACTTCAAGGGTGGAGAATTGTTGAATGGCAAAATTTTGGCTTCTTAGGCTGTATTCCTTGACAAGTATAAGAAGAAAGAAATATAAGACAAAAGTAGCCCTTAATATAGCCAATGCTAATGAGCTGCATTGCTTTTGCTCCGATGATAACAAAAAAACCTCTTGAACTTGCTAGTTACTAAATATATTTTGAGTCACTATTATAAATAGAATACAACTCTTCTAGCAAACAAGCCATTTCATTGCTGCTAACTGTTAACTACACAAGTTCTATAAACACCAGCACTAACTAACATCATTTATAAATGTCTTCTTTCTTGAAATAATAAACAGGTCCATAAAGAGGAGTGGATGACTTCTTAGCTGCAGGTTCATAACATCATAGACATGATAAGTAGAAAAACTCTCATCTCACTCTTAGAGACTGCTGGTGGCTGCAGAGTGCAGACGTGTTGCTTTGGTACTGGAGTGGTGACATAAACTTTAATAGATGTTAGCATTTAACTTGGAATTGGAAGAGGAGGTGCAGGATCAAAAGGCCCGAAACTCTGAAAGTGATTTGCTCATTGTGTTGTTCTTTGTAAAATTCACCAGAGCCCTCATTGTGTTGTCCTTGGCCCCTTTTTTTTTTTTTTTTTTTTTTTTTTTTTTTTTTTTTTTTTTTTTTTTTTTTTTTTTTTTTTTAATTTTACGCACGTATCTACAATTTGGTCATTCAAATAGAATTTTTTGATAGAAACTACCTATTAAACACCACTTTTGGAAATATTTACATTTTAAAACTTTTCTTTTTATAAAATCAAAAACTACCCTAGAAACCTAAAAGGTTTGGGCAGCACTATCTATAACGTAGTAACTATTTTTGTCCAAAATGTCTGTTTGTGGGCCCCACTGATCACTCTAATTTATGAAGTTTAATTCCCCAAATTAATAAAACACGATTTGATTCTTGTTTCGAACCACAAATCAAACTCTTAATTCTCATATACCCTCAATTGCAACATTAAGCCCCTAGATTGATTCAAGAACCCTAAACCCCTGAATTGGTTTATAAATTCTAATGGCCTATTTGGTAGCCGATTATAAATTGCGGTTATGAGAATGAATTTTAAGTGTAATTTAGTATTTAAAACAACCCACAGGGCCACAATCTCATCCTCCATGCTTGTGTTTTCTCCATGTTTTCCATCACCATATATCCATAACCACTTTGGAGGTCATATTTGGTGGGAATGAGAATTTATAAAGAGAAATAAACAAGTTGGAAGGTCATCTTGAGCGATCATAGGAATGAGCATAACATTTCTTCCATATCTATACTATTATTTTAAAACAGGAAAATTTTAAGGAAATTTAGAGTGTCCGCATGTCCTTTTTAATTTTTCATGTTTTCGAGTTTCCTTTTTTTCTTTTTTCTTTTTTATTTATTTTTGTTAAAATAAATAATTAAAGTTAAAAAAAAAAATAAAAAAAATTGATGTTTATCTTTCTATTTGTTTGTTTTATTCCCCAAACAACAACGCTTCATTCACTTCTCAGTTTACACATTAAGGGTTGCATTAGTTTTTTATTTACTTTTTTTCATGAAGGGTTGCATTAGTTTTTTATTTTATATTTTTTAATCAAACTCCATTTTCGTTAACTATTCAAATCAAAATACATATTATTTTCTTCCCTAATTTATTTCAGTTATGAATGTAATCACTCTTCCCTTCTTTCTACCCCAAATCATTTTTATTCATCCCCAATTTTTAATAACTAAAGCACTAATTCATTACTCTAATATTAGTTACTTTCTTTTTTACAAACAAAATTAGGAAAAAAGTACAATGCAATTCAAAATTATATATATATTTTTTAATTTATTTTCAATTTGCTTATTCATTCTAGGTTTATGTCAACTTGTGAAGTTTTTGGTTTGAATTGATATTATTTGTTGAAATATTTTCGCAATCATCAAGGTATGTTTCTTTGATTTGTTTTTTTTTTTTTTTGGAATAATTTATCAAAATTATAATCATGTGTCAAAAGCATAGTAAATTGTACGTATGATTATACTGCATTTTTTTTTTAAAACCGCCAAGGTATGTTTCTTTGATTTTTTTTTTTGGAATAATTTATCAAAATTATAATCATGTGTCAAAAGCATATTAAATTGTATGTATGATTATAGTGCTTTTTTTTTTTTTTTAAAAAAAAAAAAAAACCTTTTTAGTTTGCATCTTTCTGTGTCTCACTCTAAGTATATATACTCTTAATCGATTTTTAATGCACTTATTTTTTGGGCATTCTACCAGTAGATTTCAATGAACAAAGTAGATCTTTGTTTTTTCCTCATTTTGCATATCAACCAAATTATAGTTTAGTCGCTAATTAAATTTTAATCCAAGATCTTCCAAAATTTTAATTTCCTGTTTTTCTTCATGTAATTGGCATATAAATTTTTTGAATTGACAGATATTTTGAAAAATACGTATGGAGTAGGCATGGCTTTCAATCATGTTCAAGAGTTGTAATCCAATTTTTTGCTTGGAAAATTCGAATTTAAGGAATTATTTTTCATACATATGTTCGTTATTAAATCCCCCCCCTCCTTATTTTCACTTTTAAAGGCATACATAACTTGATCAATCCTTCCATTAAAAAAATTACAAATAAATATAATATGTGCATCGCACGAGCTGAATACTAGTTTACATACAAATTTATTCCCATTTCCATTGTTTATAATCAATTACCCAACGAGACGTAAATACCTAAATTGATTTAAGAATCAAGGCCTATATTTTTTCAAGTACCCTAAATCCCCAAATTAAAGCTCTGGTTCTCTAAATTTGATAAAAGAATATCCAAAATATACTAATTCAAATTTCCATAATTAATAAACTTGAAATTGTAGTTGCAAATCCATTAAATTTAAAGTCTTTTTACTTAAATTTTTCTTTGAATTACTAAGAACACTTGCAATCTAGACCGCACCAAATCGCAATATTTTGCGGTTTGGTGCGGTTTGAAAATTGCAGTGCAGTTTGAAAATATGACTAAATTGTGCTTTACGGTTTAGGTGCAGTTTCCAATTTTTTTTGGACCAAACCACATGTTAATGGGATTTGCATATTTAGACCATAAACCGTTAAACCGTTTTTTATAACATATTCTTAGAAAAATTAATATAAAATATTACAAATATGATGTAATCTTTGACTATCACTTAATTAAGGGTTATATAATATGAGTTTTAATATTTAAATAAAAAAAATTTAATTACAAAATATAATGAAGTTTATAATTTTCTTAAAGATTTTTGTAAAAATATAATAAAGTTTGTTTTTATCGCAGTTTGAAAAAAAAATTCAAATCGCTATTTTGCGGTTTTGTACAGTTTGGGATCCAAACCGAACCATGAATAACCTTGGAAATTGATACACAAATGTAAAAATGAGCATGAAACAAAGATTTTAGACGAGAAATAAGATGTGGGGCCTACAAACAATCTTTTTGGACGATAAACGTTAGTGGTAGTGGTGTAGTGCTATCCAAATTATTTTGGTATTTGTCATAGTTTTTTTTTAAAAACATAATAAAAGGTTTCAAAAAATAGTTATTTTCAAAAATGTTATTTTAATAGATAGATTTTGATTAATATAAATAAAATATTTCAAATTAATAAAATAAATAAAATATCTCAAATTAAACACACCATATTATCATTAACGCTTTAAATTACAAATGGAACATCATAAATTTGTTATACATTCCTATAACCGCAATTTTGTTAGTAGAAAGAAGCTAGTATTATTATGAAAATGAAGGATGTATTCCCATAAATTTGTTATATATACATTCCAATAATCCTCCCCAAGTCCTTGATTCTTCACTTTCATATTATCATTAACACTTTAAACTACAATAATTATTATGTTAGTAGAAAGGCGCAAGTATAGAAAAATGTATCAACGTTTTGATTTATTAAGCATTTTTTAAAATAATGATTTTAATTATGAAATTGTAAAATAAATTGTATTATTTTTTTTCTTTCTTAATGACACAAGCACCAAAATAGGAATTTTATTCAATAATCTCCTTGTCAGCAAGGAGGGCAGGAAGAACAACAGAAGGGCAGTGTGCAACAATGTTACAATTCCTAGGACAGAAAGCAAACTTACAAAAATAAAAAATACCAGTAAGCTAATAGTGTATGAAACAATAAACTGAGTAGTAGATTTCTCTTTCTCAATTCCATGGAGCGGCTTCACAAGATGGAGACAATCATATTCAACTTCAAGACTTCTTAGCCCGGCATCATACGCAAGTGTGAGCCCAAACAACACGGCATGTGCTTCAGCTTCCAGGGGAAGCATACAAGGTTCAGGGTCATACATGCGGTCATCATAACATCACCTCCTCCATCCCTAACAATCATCCCAAGGCCTATCTTACCTTCATAGGGAACTGCTGCTTCAGTGTTAAGTTTATAAAGGCTATCAGTAGGAGGCTTCCATTTGTCAGCCACTCTATTGCAGTGAGGTTTATCAGGGACCTCAAGCTTAGTGGCAGCCTCAAACTCCCCCAGCAAAGCCATAGCCTTGGAGCAAGCAATTTTGGGGTCGAGTTTTTTCTTCTCGAAGGTGCATAAATTTCTCAGCCACCAAATTTGCCAAAGAAGCATCATCAACACTTCCCAAATTGTATTTATATACTTTATTTCACTCGATTTATCATCTGATCCATATCCATGAATAATAGGTGGATCAAATATGGATAATGGCAAATTAGGTGATGAACGGATCGGATGACGGATGGATCGTTGGTAGATGAAGGTGGGTGAAGCATCCATTACCACCCTACATTTAAAAGAACAATATTTTGTAACACTTGTAGCGTTGTATGATTCAAATTAGGTGCCTATTATTTGGATTAAAACCAAATTATTAATTCGATAGATTGAATTTTTTGGATTGGATCAGATTGATTTTCTTTGGATCCAAAAAATAAAAATAACCGAAATAATTTTTAGATTGGATCAGATTGATCTTGTTTGGATCCAAAAAATAAAAATAACCGAAATACGAAAACCGTGATTTTATAAATAAAGATTGTTTATATTAATCAAGTAAAACTATGCTTTTAATTAATTAATATTAATTATGTAAAACTATGTTTTTAATATTTGTATTAATCATGTACAACTATGATTTCAAAATTTGAATTTTTATAACTGCATTTTAATTTTTGTAATCGCATTAGGTACTAAAAGCTTGCAACATATTTTAATTCAGAATTTCAGATTTGATCCAAATAATCGAATTACTGATGGTTTGAATTTAATAAAAAATTAAGATTGAATTGAATTTGAAAATTAAAAATCAAATTTTATTTCAAATCCGATTGAATTTGACCTAAATCTAAATCGAAACTCAATCGAACCCAGCCCCTACCCTACCCAATCCCAATATCCCCCCAAAAAAGTTCTGCTCGTTTAAAAAATAAAATAAAATATCTCTTCAACTTCTTTTTTTTTTTCTCTCTCTCTCTCTCTTCAATTTTTGATATTAAGTCATCACTTGCTGACTTGCATGTCTTTCTCTCTCCTCCAAAACCGGCGTCAATTTCACCGGTGACATCATCGTCGTTTCGTTGTCTCTGTCTAAACTCCACCATTTCAATCGTCTCAACTTCACCTGCAAAATCCCCTAATCTCTACTAACAATTCAATTTTTGGGATTTAGGGGTAATCACTCAAACCCTAGATCTCAATTTTCGCGTTTGACAGTTGTTCGTGTTCTTCAATTGATTTCAAAATTTAATGAAGTTGAAGTCTTTTGAACGTATCTATTAATTAATGGTAAATTATTTTTCTTAAAAATTGTGTATTTTTAGTATTTATTTATTTGCTTATACATGTATTTGGTTGCTAAGTTGGTCAATTTGAGCAGGGTGCTGAATGCAAAATGATCTCAGAA